ACAACCAAATAAAACTTAAAAATACTTCTGTCGCTTCTGGTAAACGATAAAAATAGCAATATTTTATATTTTTCGAGTTTTCTTGTCAATTGAGTTAATCTTGTAACACCACAGTAAGCTAAGTAAATTCGTAGCAGGACATAATCGATGTAATTTATAAATTTTACGGTTAATGAAAATACCAAAGGATAGATAACTTACCGGGAAGGGATTAAAGATATTTCTAAACAAAAAATAAAATTTATTCTGTTTACAATCAAATGTGACAGGCAATTTCGGATTTACTCACAGATTTGTTCGGCTTAGTAATCTACAGCTTGCCATACCACTGATATTTTTACATATACAAAAACATAAAAATAGATGGAAACAATAAGGCACTTTGACAAACTCTATAACACTAAAGTTACATTTATAGACACTTTAACTTAGTTTTATATTCTAATGTGTATTTTTGTAAGCTTCATACTTTGTGTGTACCGTTGTAACTGATATATCGTCCCCGACATAAATACCGAATACTAGGCTTACACATCCTTAATTCGCAGATAGATTCACAGCTGCATGTATTTCGAAACACCGCTATCGGATAACTGATTGGTTTTAAACTTTGTATAGTTTATACAATTTGATATATTGTATTGTTAGAAGTAATTTTGAAACCCTTTATTAAATGAAATACATCACCATAAAATATATATTTTCAGTTAAAATCAATACAGTCCATGGTTATTTAATAAGTAAGAAACCTGCTGGTTTTTAAGTGTTCAGAAGTAATTGTAATTGCTATAAGATAGTTAAGAATTCAACGATGGAAAATAAAGTACCAGAATAGCTTGTTAAGGCATTAGTTAATGATTTGTATAACGGTAGATTAGTTTATAATTAATTAAAACTACCTCAGAGAAATCATATTACAAAGTTATTCTATTTTCAAATTCAATCTTGACTACCTCAGCATGGCATTGTGTTTTTAATCAATAACCTGAATATTATTCATGCGTAAGTTACGAAGGTCTCATGAGATCCACACTTCAAACTAGTCTAAATTTAATAAGAAATCTTGTAAATAGGGACATATAAAGACAAATAAAGCTACACTATATATTTGCTTCTTTCTATAGAAACCACATTAGTTGGCTCATGGTAGCGTACTAACCTAGCAAGCGGGAGGTCATGGTTTCTATCCAAGACTGGGTCAAACCAAAGACTTGAAATTTTGTATTTAATGCTTCTCAACTATACACTCGACAGTTAAAAGTCAGAGCAACTAAAAGTCGACTCGGAGTCTGCATAGTATGTCAGGGTAGGGTGACATGTCTTGTTGTGGACTGTTACAGTTGTTTCTTGTGAGCTATGTATGTATATATATAGAATGTTATAAATCTCGCTGATAGTGTGTTTAAAATATAAATTCATGTCCATATTCATATCACATTTAAAACAACATCTCTTCTTGGTGTGCATGTGATATTTGCTAACTTACACAAATTCTTCCATGTGATATTTCCCAATGGACGTTAAACACAACTCAGCACTTGTAAGACTACATAATTAAGTGAATATATTGAACGTTGTTAGATTTGTTTCTTTATTTTTTTCTTTAAGTTATGATTATTCTAGCTTCACATTATCTGTAAATGATCGTCGTGTTGTCGTACAACAGTCTCATTGATCTAGATATTGTCAGTTTGCTATATATTCAAACGTGGAATCAGTCTATTTATTGAACTATATATACAGACCTATAAACAACTGTCATACAAGGGGGAGATTTGGCTAGCTATAAAACCAGGTTTGAACAACCATTTCTTCGGAAATGACAGTTGTTTTCCATTCGTTCCAATGGTTGAAAAAGTCTAATGTTTGATTTTGTCAGTTTTTATGGACTTACCCTTCTTGAATTTACCTTGGAGCTCGGTATGTTTGTTAATAGGAAATACCTTTTTACATGAATGAGTTATAAACTCACAGAGAAAATTAGAAAAAAAACACTAAACATGTACATGCGTGCTACATTCAATATGATGTCTTAATGCCTGTACCAAGTCAGGAATATGACTGTTGTTTTCCATTTGTTTGATGAGTTCGAGCTTCTGATTTTGCCATTTATTAAGGGACTTTCCGCTCTGAATTTTCCTTAGAGTTCGGTATTGGTGTTATTTCACTTTTTATTACATTTCATTGCAAGGATTACTCCTATCCAAGGTCCTCATTATAGTAGTCATTATCAATCTAGAATATTGCACCAGGAAAGAATGTTTCCACGTAACATATTAATTCACAAGCCCTTCTTATGTGGTATTTACCTGTAAATCTTTTAATGATATCAAAATCAATGACTTTTTTCCCTTAAAAACATAAAATGTTCGTGTCCTAGAAACCATGACAGCAGATTTGTTTTTAATGATAAGGTTTCCTAATGACCGAACAAATAAGCGAAATGATAAATCGGCATCTGTATCATGCCAACAATTCATCACGTGATTAAATGCAGACTAAAAACTAGAAAAAAGGAAAAAGACACTGTGTACAAATACTATAAGAAAAAAAAACCCGAACACATTCAAACAATAGTCCACCAAAAAATAAAATGCACAGATAATTAGTTTTTTCTTCTAAAATTTAAGCGACAGAACCCTAGCCAATACCCGGGGTTGAATTTGATTATTCTGTAAATGTTAATAGTTTCTTCTCCAAAGGTGGAAACCGTTGGGGTTTTCATAGCAAACAAAGGTATGGCAAAATCAAAACTTCCTTGTTAAACAACACTATTTAATCATATTATATATTATTGTATACAACTTTATTTGAATGGTTTAAAAATATAACATGCTGGAACATACTTATGTTTTAATAATTAATTCTTTTCATTTGCATTTATACAGTCTGGATGACGTTTTACAAAACAAATTATATCATCTCGTATATATTATAAACTCAATTTATATTTCATGTTTGAGTTCTTTTTCTTGTGTATTGTCTGTATTGCAATTTTTTAATATAAAAAAAATCACTGTACTTATAATGCCCATAATGGGTCCTCTATTGGAAATAAAAATTTAAACATTTATCTATCATATTCTCTAATGCCAATAACGATTGTTGACAGATGCATTAAAACTTCAATTACATGATCAAAACACCATGTGCAAATAATCCAATTAAGCTGTTTTACCGTCTTTTGTTATGTAATAAAATGTAGCTTTAATTGATTCCCTTTTCTTGCATTATATTGTTGTTATGAATGTGAGAATGGCTATAAAATGAATAATGTTATCAGAGAAAGGCTTTTATACCTATTTCAATTAAAACGTTTGTCGATAAAGATTGGTATTCAGAAATGAATTTTAACTTTCTATAATTCTAAATCAATTTAAATGAGTTTTTAGATAGAGTCGCGCCAAACAGAGAAATTTACCAATTTAAAACGTCTGGCTCACAATTTTAAGAATTTCGAATGATTTCAGACCACAGAACTTTGAAAAAAAGCTTCTTTTGCACTAACCTCGGGTTCTTAAAATAAGCTTCTTCTTCAAAAGAATGCGTTTCAAGGTACACTTTCCTCCAGGAATTGATTTTGGAAGAACTGTTTCTTTAAGTGTGTTATTTCATGTTTACCTAGAAGAATGCAACATTTTTTTTTCTATGAATGTCTCTCGAAATGTTTGTATATCCCCTATCCGAAGGAGGAGGCATACTGGCCTATATCTGTATGCTGTCCGTCCTTCCCATGGAATAAGTGTTTCATTTGTCACAGGAACTACAGTTGAGAGCTTCCTGAAATTTGATATCAATCTTCATGTGAGCATGTTATACCGTTTGGTGCGTTTTCACATCAACTTCCTGTTTATTGAATACATATAGCGGGGTTTTCATTAATGAGCAACAGCTTTTTCAATCCCCAATTCCTACAGATTCTTTGCGATGTAAATAAAATAATGGCACCTTAATTTCAAAGAGAAACGACAGAAGATCAAGAAATATCTAGACATGTCAATTAGTCCAGAAATGTCTGTATCAAGCCAAGAATTTCATAATCTTTTGTTGTTTTTGTCAGTTTAATTTGATATTTTAAGTACTCTTGAGTTTTAATTAAAGTTTTTAATTTTCTTTTTAATCCAGATACTATAAAAGTGACTAAAAGTTATCGTTATACATTATTGATAATTGAAAAGACTGCAAAGTTTAAAATGAATGTACGCGAATCTGATCGACAGTCACAAAGAACAAAAGTTACGATTTTTTGTATTGACTTGATTAATGTTTTGTTCAGGTGGTTATTTGTTTCTATGTTTGTATGCAGACGTCTAAGCGTGATGTCTACAGTCAAATGCACAATACTGTTATAATATCCGCTACGCAAAATGGGTTTCAGATTCATGTTTTATATAACAAATAATTTATATTATTGATCGATCAATAGAAACCACAGCGAAAATGAATCAAGCTTTAATTGTATTCTATTAAACATATTTATGTTGCACTTCAATTCAAGCACTGTGATGCGTTGCCAAGCCCCTTGTGTGACAATGATATTCTCAGAAATGAAAAATGGTGTCTCTTCTCATATTTCAATATTAAAGTGTTGTTCAAATCGAAATTATGTATTTTGACATTATCAATAGCTCGTACTTAATTTGACCGTTTTTGCTCAAAATATAATTTAGTATGTTTTACAGAATTATGTTACAATTATTACATTCTATTTTATACATATATCTAATACTGTTTAACCTAACATACATAGAACAAACTTTATTCTTTAGTTGCTTATACACACGTCGTTTGGAAAGTTCTCTCATTGGGAATCATACCGCATCTCCTTATTTTCTTTAAACATAATCACTTAATGTGTGTTATCACTTTCACACATTAAACTACTCAGTCGGGTATATATTCATCTTTATTGGTATCATCTCTACCTACAGACGTTTTGTTATGACCTTCACGAAATAATTGTAATCGATTCATCAACTGTTTTTCTTTTATATTTTCAGTTCTCTTCCGGGAACATAAACGCCTTGCAAATAAACTTACAAAAGATGAATTAAAGTCACTAAAGACTTACATCAGCGATCGTCTAATACAAGACCACGAAGAACTCTTATTTGAATATAATGCTCTCAAATCTTCTCACAACTCTAGTATACAGGAACTCAAACAGACTATAGAACAACTAGAAAAAGAACTTGCTTTCAAAAATGAAATAATTCAAAACTATAAATCTAGTGACGAAAACTTAGCTATTGTCTATAAAAAACGAGGAGAGAAACTGGAAAAGAGACACTCTGTTTTGCTCGAAGATCATGAGTCAAATAAAGGGACGGTTAAGCTGTTTGAGCTTAGAGTTCAAAACTTGCAAAAGGAACTTGAAGAATATCAACTGAAAGAAGAACAACAGGCGAAGCTTATAGAAGAACAGGAGGAAGCAATAAAACGTCTTCATGAAGCACAAGACAACGTTATAAACAGTGACAAACTAGCTAAAGACCTTTTAAAAGTTAAATTAGCTGTGGATGAAAAAACTCGCGAGTTTCAAAAGATTAAGCAACTTAATGCAGAGCTACTTAGTCAGATTGAAGCGTACAAATCAAAATGTACGGAAATGCAAACAAACATGGAGAAAATCAAAACCGAGTTCAACAATCAAACAAAAGAGTTTAGATCAAAATGTGAACACATTGCATCGCTCCAATACCATATAGATATGGAAAAACGCACAACTAGTGAACTACAGAAGGAACTGCAAGCTTTACTTGGACCACTTAACAACATTCAAGGGCAACAAGGTCAACAAGGAGACCAGAACCACAAGGACGTCTCTATGTACAAAGCTGAATCAATGCGATCTCAAATTCAGTATTTAGAAGGACGTGTTAAATTGGTAGAAGAGAGACTGGCGCTTTATAGAATATCTGTTAGGGATTCTACAAAAGAAGTAGGCATCGTTTCGACCGACTGCAAAAGACTCGAGCAGCTTATAGAACGACTCGTAGTCCATGAATCTACCACAATAGAAAAAACGCTGATTGAACTGAGGGAAAGTACGGAAACTCGGAGAAGTGTCTTAGAAGAGTCAATTGATGAAATACTTAAACAAGCACCAGCTGTTATATCACGTGACGCAATTGAAATACGCGCTCAGATTACATCACTCAAAAAGCAAGCAGAACAAAGCAGATTGAATGATGTTGTTACACGATGTTCTAGACTCTTTCCAAGAATAGAAGCCTGTGAAAAAGCTCAGTTTGCGATTAACGATAAGGTTATAAGCAAACAGTGGAAGGAAAGCACAACTCCACCAAAGTATATACCGAAGCCAAGAAGAAGCATAGATCATACAAATACAACATTCTCTGGGTTACCAAAGAAACCCCCACCGATGCCACTGCTACTTCGATCGAAAACTCAGAATGGAAATTCTCCTGTTTGGAAGAGAAAGTATTCTGCTTCCATGGACAGCATTTTGATATCTCCAACCTTGATTGATCTGTCTGTTAGTCCAAATTCGTCACCTCGTTCTACAACAGACACGAAGTCAAGGGTGTCATTCTTCCCACCAGGTCGACCGCTTTCAGCATTTTCAAATTCTTCTCTTGGAAAAACTAGCCAATAAAGTGAACTTGCGTTACTGATTAACATATTGCATAATCTTTGAAATTGATTTTGTAATTGATATATTTGTATGTATTATTATGTTTATGTGTATGGTTATGATTAAAATAGTATAGTAAAATGAAAATTAAATTAGCTTTAACTTTAAAGATTAACTTCAATTTTGTGTAATAAACCCAGGAAGTTTTACATAATTTACATAAACAAATTATACAGATTTAATTGTAAAAAAGCATTTAGTCGTTTGGTTTGCCATGTCCGAATGTTCATAAGAATACGGCACAACGCAATGCAAGAAACCTAAAAATATACCTACACGAGTTATGCTATCAATTATTATAAGACAAAAGCTTGTTCATGTTCAGAATGTAAAGATGGCCTAAAAATAGCAACTGATAATTCACTAAAGTAACAATCAATCACATACAGTTTATGGGTATAATGTAAATACGTAACTCAATAGCGTCTTTACAGTGACTATAAACAGCATACATATAAAATAAGGAGATGTGATATGATTGCCAATGAGACAATTTTAACCTAGCTCCTTTAATTTTCAAAATAACAGCCAAAAAATTTGAAAAATTTTAAAAAATGTATATTTCAGGCGCAATAAGTTATAAACAGGTTCACAAATTTTCTGACATTTTCAGGGTTAAAAGATCTTGTCGAGCTGATCATTTTTGCAGTTTACGATTATAATATAGCTACTATATTATTAACTCCAAAATAAGTTGATAGATTTTTCTCTAATTGATATAGTTGACATTCTATAGATTTTAAGTTTATAAGCCCTTTCCTTTTTATCTCGATCTGACAGTGGAACTAAAAAAACGTACGTAAACAAATTTCAACAGAAAAAGTATTTTTCTGGAAAAATAGATGTATCTTATCGATATCTAATCAATTTAAAAGCATATAAGTTATACAAAGTAACATGGTGCTGGTGGGGTGTATATCATTCAATTTGTTTCGAACCAAAATAGGTATATGAAAACAATGTCGTATCAAAACAAACAAAACTCTGCCTTAACGGAATTACATTTCGTATCTATTTTAACCTTTAAACCAGTGTTTCACACCTAAAACAAATAGTACACGTAGATGGTTTGATATACATAAGGGTACAGTTTGTACAATTAATGTATAAGCACCAAAACTCCTTTCACAAACATTGCTTGTATGATGTAACTAGAATATCAGATGACAGATGCAGTAAAATTTCAGTAAAATTTCCTACTTTTGATAAGTGCAACCGTTATTGTTCATCTTAAACACAGTTTACTCCATCGTCCGTAACTGAGCAGCGCTCAGTGTACATATTAACCCTTGCAGAGATGACTTGATAATACACCAGTACTCTAACCTGCTTTATGACGTAGATATTGGGGTGTTCAAAATATTATTAGATACAGATGCCAGTAACAGTTAAGTATATAAATCATAGATTGTTATAATTGGTTGTCTACAGCTTTATAATAATTCCAAAAAATAAGATAACCCTGACTTTAAACAAGCTTCTTATTTCTTTTCTTGTAACTGCTCATGTGGCTCCGATAGATTGCACGTTTCGAGTACTGTGTACGAACGCAACCGAGTTAAGTCAAAGACTTTGTAACTGGAACTTGCTGCTTCCCTCCACCACACCTCCGCCTCCATGACGCGGCGTATTAAAGCAAGAAAAACATTGATCGGCAAGGAGTCAAAATAATTTGTCCAGATGGAAGACATGTCACACTGTTCTCATCCTGAATAATCATGCTTGATACATTTGATACATTTGGACGTACAGCATATTTACTAATAGTTGGAAAATAAATTTATTAGTCCGACAACCTCGGTTGGTTATGTAGTTGATAAATAAAGATTAACCTTAACAAGACATATGAAAAGAGCTTGTCAAGGGACTCATGAAACATGTTTTTAAATGAGTGTAAAAAAAGTTCATTCTAACGGTAAAAGAGAAAAAAGACACAAACAAAGAATAAGTACAAAACAGAATTCCTGGTATAACGAAGGCACAGATGTGGCGAGAATACACAAGTCGTCAGGATACTTTAAGAAAAATGGAACATTATAATAACCCAAATTGTCTCTGTGCTTGTGTGTTTGTTTGTCAAAAGAAAATCAATTCGTTAATTTACCATAAAACAGACTAAAATGTTGTTTTTGTTTTATTTTTGACGTTGATATTCAGTCTGTGCTTTACTCAACATCGTGTCCCTGGTACAGTAAATTCCATTGCTGTATAAAAGAGGGTGGGGTTAAAAGAATAGAACATAATGACCAAAAAATAATGAACAGAGAAAAATGAGCAGAAAATATGAAGAATAGAGAATAATGGGATGCAAAAGTATAAAGAATAACTGTGGAAAATAAAAGTATTAGGTAATACAAATACAATACTAATTACAGAGATGAGCTATGTACAGATTAAGAAATCATCTGATTACAGAAAGGTTTGATAAGTAATAATTTTCAAGAGAATTTTTACAGAGTAAGCATTATTTTCAAAGATAAAGAAAAATGACCTCAAATTTATGAGAAAAAATATATACAACAACAAAAAACAACAAAAAAGACCTTAAAGCAAGCATACATTCCTTAACAATAGATAAGTGTCGAATCAATCTGTTAATTTCAAAATGGTTTCGATTTCACTAAGAATATTTGAATATATTAAAATGGAAGCTATCAAAGATCTGCCACCAATAATAACTTCCCCAAATGACACCCCCTTTTATCCCTCCTAAAATAAAAATAAAACAAAACAAAATAATGCAAAATAAGAAACACAGAAAACAAAAAACTAAACAAAACAAAAAATAATTATTCATTTTAGCTCTTTAGAGATCTAAAACGACCCTTTTTAATCTCGATCAGTGAACTAATAAAAGTCCATGAAAAAACAGACAATAAAAGCTGTAAACCAGTACAGGAAAAGCTATTTTTTGGAGAAAATACATTTAACTCTGTGGATATAAAACAAAGTACAATCAAAACATAAATGAACAATATCGTATCAAATTATGCTCTTGTTTACAGAAAGTAAGCGAGAGCACATAAGTAGGTTGGAAAGGGTCTAGATGGGGGTAATTTCTGTTTAATAGGTTGATGTCTCGTTGACATACAATGTATATATCGTCCTTAACATGGATGAAATATTTGTCACTGGACGATAAACAACAAACATCAATCACCAATCAATTGTTGACATATACAATTAATCTTCTAATCTTTTTTATATTGATGAGTATTATTTTACTTGTCGTACCCTTGCATACGGTATTTTTTTCTGCGGTTTCAGGAAATAATGCACTTGTATTACATGTCTCTGGTTCACTGAAATACTATTATTTAAAGTACTTTGTTTTATTTGTCATTAATGTTAATTTGATGTCACTCCAAAATTGACGAAAGGTTTTAAATATTTCCAATCATTATCTTCACACGTAATTTAATGGGCAGATTTGCATCGCACTTTTCAAATGATGTAGAAGATTTAATTATCAAAATGTGTTTTATACTCATAATATGCTTATTTTTACTGCACAATTAAGATGTATCGAATGATTATATTTTGATTAGTCATTCTATCTTTAGTGTTATTTTATTATTACTAATGGCTTTCATAGAAGTGCTGTATTTAATATTTGATTAGCAGACTGTAGTTTCATATGAAACGGAACTGCATTACGCAATTAAAGGTAAACTATGCAATAGTTCCCAAAAGAAAAGTTATATGCGCCAAAAGAATGGAGATGAACAAATAATCAAGCAGGAATACGACTATATAATCTAATGCACTAATGGCTTCGTAAGTACAATGTTTGAGTAGTAATTCAAGACTGTTCTGGGCCACAGAAGACGAATGGTATTCTGATACCAAAGATATTAGACATCTGTCTATTGTTCAAGACTGTGTTTTGGTCTATAATAGATGTGTTTTGGACATTTGTGTCGTTGGGTTGCTGTCTCATTCATGAAAACCTCGCGTTTATACATAAGGCACGAAAAAAAAATCAGATTCCAATAACAACAAAAGCTAATCATCGTTCTGGTCACATCCGGCTTTTAGAGTTGTGTTGTTGTACTTTTCCACTTGCGACAGAAAATCATAAGCAAATCACGAATCGATCTTCCACAGAACAGAGTACATAACTGGGCAGTATCAGACAAGCCAGCTGGTGTGTATGGTTAACAATCTCTTACGATGTATATCCAGGGAAGAACAAACTTGAAAAATATTACTGGCCGGGGTCTGAGAATTGCAAGTCTTGCATTCCTTGGTTGGTTTTAGTTTTCTCAATTGAATTGTTTCATATTTTTTATGTCCAGGCGGTTTATAGCCGACTATACGGTATGGGTTTTTCTCATTGTTGAAGGCTGTACGGTTGCCTATAATTGCTTACATCCACTTTATTTTAACTTTGGTGGATAGTTGTCTCATAGGCAATCATACCACATCTCCGTAGGTTTATATCTAATCGGTTTCACACACGTCCATAGTTAAAATGAAAGTCGTGGTTAATAGTGTCCCCGAATATTTTATCTCAATTGTTAACAGATAAATAAATGGGAAAGGGTCTAGGTAGTAAGAAACTAGTCAGCGGTTGTATTTAATTATATATAAAAAATTTTTGAGATAGCCTGGGGTCCTGGCTAATCTGTCAGTATACGACGCGCAGCTAGATCGGGCAGGGATGCCAGGCTAATTTTTGAGACAGTCCTATTTTGAAAGACTATAATACAGACGCTAGAGATCCTATGAATTATCGAGGTGTTAGTGTGTTATCATGTATCAGTATCAAAGTATACAGCACTTTAGTTAATAAGAGGATCGTGAACTATTTAGAGAACAACGACAAATTAGTTGACGAACAAAACGGCTTTAGAAGAAATCGTTCGTGTGAGGATCACATATTTAAATTGAATAATGCAATTTGGAACAACGATAAACTTTTTGTGGCTTTCATTGACCTAAAAAAATGCTTCAATTTGGTTGACAGAGAAATGATGCTTTATAAACTGTTACTTGATAATATAGATGGTAAAATGTACAACTCTATAAAGAGCATTTACAACAGTTCCGAATCTTGTGTTAAACTGAATGGAAAGTTAATTGACTGGTTCCCCTGTACAACTGGTG